CAGACCAGGGACTATTTGATTTCTCGACTATCCCTCCCTTAATTGGGCCATCCATGACCTTCTCCATCTCTTTTCACTTTGCTGGAGCTATTCTCCTTGGAGGGATCTTTATTGGGCGGTGATTGTCTGTGTTTATGCTGTGCTCCACAAGGTCATGATCTCCTTTTGAAAAGACGTCTGCATAATTCGCCTAAAGTTTCCTAACCTGATGAGCCTGTGATGATGACAAATGGACTATGCTCTTCCTATAGAGGTCAGTTAAATGTTTTATGAGAGGATGTCCTTTATGGTTGTATTTCTTACCTTAACATTCACTAGCTCTACCTCCTGGCACACACCCAACAATGCCCCTTCCTTAAATGTCTGCTAACATTTAGAGAAATTAGCCACTGTTATGGGTACTACTTGATGACCAAATTCCGGTAAGTGTTTCTGCATCTGTTGATTTGTATGTCACAGCACTTAAGTCAACTACAGTACCTCTATCTCGGAGAAGATAATTTGGGGTAGGATAAAAGAACATCCCCAAGGAAGCCCGATGCTTGTGGAAGCAGTGGAAGACCCATCCAGACCAGCAGACGTGAAGATTGGAAGGTCTCTTGTGCCAGGCCTTTGTTGTTCCCAAACGTCATTTTATTAAAGTTAACTACACACTTCCTCGGTAGTAGATAGTCCAATCCTAATATGCATTGGTCTTCAATGTCAGCCAAATATACTTCGTGTCTGCCCATTATGCCCATGAGCTCAACAGTAACCCACACTGGTCTCCACAGCCTTGCATAATGTCCTGTCACACCACATAGTTTCTGTATGGCTTCTGGTATTCCTTTGTGATCTAGCACCTTGATACTCACAAAGGTTTGCTCAGATGCAGAATCTATGACAAAGTTGCACCTTTGGCCATCCAGCTTCCCTGTCACGTAGATACTATGTGTGCTTGCCATTTTACACTTAGCTGTTGGGACTTTCACAATGGAGGTTGGTGGGCGTCCCTCATCACCACCCACGACTGGTTCCCCAAGCTGACTTATTGGTAGTATTCTTCTCACACTGGCTCCTCATATGTTTTTGCTCTCCACAGTTCCAACAACTTTTCTGGGTAGCACCTTTTCCCGCCGTGGCATCTTCCCTGTGTTGAAGTTTCCAGCATTGAGCTTTCTTGTGCCCAGGTTTGTTACAGTGTTAGCAAAGGCTCCCAAATTTCTCTGAAAGCTGCCCTTTCTGGCTTTTAATCCTGATGACTGTACCAGCCTTGGTACCTCTGTGCTGGATGTAGGATTTCAATTCAAGAACTCTGGCCATTGCATCCTACATAATAGAGTGGTGTGCTTGCTTCACTTGTATCTTCAGTTGTGGACAGCCCAAGACATCTACAAACTGATCCCTCAGCAATAGCTTGAGAACATCGGGTGGCACAGTTGGGTAGGCTTTGTGTGCATTACTTTCCAAGTCCTGTGCCAGCTCTTACAGGCTTTCCCCTTTAGCACGGACTCTAGTCCTAAACCTAGCCCTGTAGACTTTGGACTGATTTTGAGTTCCATACCTGATTTCTAGAGCATCTACCAGTGCTCTACAGTTGTGCCTGTCATCTGCTGACAAGTGTCCAAGCATTTCCAGTGGTTGTCTCTTCAGGCTCATTGCCAGGTACACTGCTTTCTGCTCCTCTGTTCCAAGAAGAGAGATTACAGCAGTGATTGGAGGAGAAAGAAAATAAACAAGAAGAGAGATTACAGCAGTAATTGGAGGAGAAAGAAAATAAACAAGAAGAGAGATTACAGCAGTAATTGGAGGAGAAAGAAAATAAACAAGAAGAGAGATTACAGCAGTAATTGGAGGAGAAAGAAAATAAACAAGAAGAGAGATTACAGCAGTGATTGGAGGAGAAGGAAAATAAACAAGAAGAGAGATTACAGCAGTGATTGGAGGAGAAGGAAAATAAACAAGAAGAGAGATTACAGCAGTGATTGGAGGAGAAAGAAAATAAGCAAGAAGAGAGATTACAGCAGTGATTGGAGGAGAAAGAAAATAAGCAAGAAGAGAGATTACAGCAGTGATTGGATGAGAAAGAAAATAAGCAAGAAGAGAGACTACAGCAGTGGTTGGAGGAAAAAGAAAATAAACAAGAAGAGAGACTACAGCAGGAGTTGGAGGTGAAAGAAAATAAACAAGAGAGGCTGCATCAGTGGCAACTGGAAAAAGAAAAGAAACGGAAAGACAGTCTCCAACAGTTGAGAGAAAGTCAGCATACACAAATGGAAAAGATTAGTAAATTTTAAAGTAAATTAAATACATTAAAGGACGATTTACTGTCTTTTACACAGGGAGGATATATTAGCCATGGACCTAATCAGCCCCAGACAACAGGAAGCCCTTCCAAACCATGTAGCTAAACCCTAATGCAGAAATCTTCAGTCCTGCCAGAAGTCACATTCCAGACATGAGTGTCAGCATTTGGGGTGATCTTGTACGAACGAAGCCACAGGAATTCGATGGGAAGGCCGCATGTGAAGCATATAGAGCACAATTTGAGCTACTGGCAGAAATGAATGGATTTTATTTTCTTTCTCCTCCAA